AGGGTTTAGGGCTTTAGGGCTTCGAGGTTATGCTTCAGAAGGCTTCAGGGATCTGAACATCCTTTGGTTACAAGTCAGCTCTCGGCTTCCATGTAGCCGGACTAGATCTAAGATCTAATTTTGGCAGCAGGAACAGCAAGGACAGTAGGGGCATCTTCGTTTGTGTCGGAATCCTACGACTGCGGCAGTACAGGGTTCTTCCACATGGATCTACTGAGTCTATCAGCAGCCGTCGTCTGTTTATTCAAAAAGTGATCCGTGCCCTTCACCCCGGATCGCAGAGGCTTCCTAAGTTCCTCGACGAAGATATGCTTGGTGGATCATGGCGCCGACGTTCGCGGTATGATTTAAATCCTGCCAACACCAATGGCTGAGGTCTAGGCAGAATTGCTGGCAATTCCACTTCATGAGGTCGTACTTTTTCCAGGTAACCCGCTCCAGCCTGCCCAGGTCGTGTATTGAGGCTTCATGGCATGCACATGGTGCTTGGTACACAGCTGGGGTTGAAATGCCTTGAGTGCAACTGCCTTTCACGTCTGCACTTCTGCTGCTTCAGCTCTCGTTGGCTCGAAGGTGCGCGCTCCGCTTCTGTGCCGGAAAAAGGTTGGATTCAGTGAAGGTATGAATGAATCAAAGACATCCGAAGCGGCTCCGTCGGCATATATGCCAACATATGCCAACATGCATCCAGTCCACACATGCACCGGTCAAAGTGTGCCACCCAACAGGTCGCGTTCTTTCTCACCACTCTGTCGCTGATGGCTCTTACGGCTTCAATACTCATACGGTGATACTCCCTAAGAGCCGCACAGGTAGGTTTTGTTGTTGGCTTTGTTGTTCGCCACCGGCCGTGTTAACTTTCTTGCCCGGGCCTGGGGCACATTTTTGCCGCAATAGAAAAATGTAAGTATTTTTGCTGGTTTCCGATATGTGGTTGCACTGCTGCCCGCAAAACGGCAGTGACGAAACACTTCATCCCAAAAATGGCGAGAAGAAGGGCGCAGGTTGGGCCTTGCTTTGGCCTTGACATGTCAACCAGCTTTCTCTCAATCAACCAGGTTTCACCAAAATCAACCAGGGTTCCCGAACATCAACCAGGTTTCACCAAAATCAATCATGTTTACCGAAAACGAACCAGGTTGCAGCAAACTCAACCAGGTATGTCGACAACAAATCGAAAAAAGCCGATACAGTGGAACAAAAACACTGATGGCGATGGTGCAGATTGTCTCTGAGATGGGGCAACGAAGTTACTTTGACAATGATGTTGCTGGTCGCTGCGGGAAATGATGAAGCTTGGATGACGTTGGTTCCGCTTCCCTGATGTCCGATGTCTACACATCTGAATACAGCATGGTAATACTAGGGACTATGGCTGCAGCTCTGCTACGACATGCGCAATACGGCTGTAACTGTATTCAACCAGCATCAAGCAGCCTACGAGATACTCTTCTTTGCTACAACTCGCACTGGACCACCACTGTGACTGTTTCTACCACTGCTGCACTTCTTGCTACACCTCCAAACCTTTCCCCGTCTGCTATTGTCTTCCTCCTCCTGTACCGAACTGCCGTCTGTTGTTGCAGCTGTGATTGCCACGGGGTGTGCTTTCTGTCGCACGTATCGCTGCTCGTTTTGCTGTGTACGCTGAGCACATGCAGCCTTTCGTGTTAACATGAAAGCCTCTCATTTTCAAAATCAGTGCAGACGCCTTGGTATCGTATCCAAACTTCCACTGTAACTACAGCTACCATGGAGCATTGGGCTCACGAGACAAGACTCTTGCAAAAGCGCTGAGGCCGGCGCTGTTGGCAAACCTAGCAGCTGTCTGCAGCATGGTCAAGATGGTTTAGAGCAACCGTTGAGGCTAGATTTGCGTACATGGACTGTTCTCCCCTGGTAGCTGTCTCGCAGATTAGAGAAGGCTCAAACCACTAGGTTGACGGTCAACTTGGTTAACTGCTGTTCTCAACCTCGGAATCAAGGGCTTATGGGTAAGAGCACGGCGCTTCCGACTTCAGCTACAGGATTCGTTTCATGGATCCCCATGAATGGCAAGAGAAGCAGTCGTTGCAAGAACCCCCCGAGTCTGAACACTCTGAGAGGCATGATGTTGCCGCTTGGCCTGTCTACCTGCTCTACACTTTGGGGTAACGCATCTGAAATCTCGGGGCTTCGGATATTCCTGCGCTGCACTGCTATAACTTGGGCAGCAAGGCTGCTATTGTACCAATTCTCGCTCTCGTCGGGCCCTCTCTGAGTAATAGAAGATGATAGCAGGGTCTGACTGGATGACAGGTGCCAGGCCGTGGCGCTTGTAAACACTGCATTCACGATGGACTGCTGAAAATCCATGTGTTGAACTAAGCTGAGGAAGACAGGACCATGACAGGTTGTCGGTCTTCTGGTTCCACCAACTATTTCTGAACAAACGAATGTATCTGAGCCTGATCAAGAACCACATGCAGACTGCTCAACCATACGGCAACATGCAGGCGCAGAAATTCCAGCACCAAATCCACCCCCTGACAAGCCAGTTCCGACTCACCTCCATGCCGGTGACGCGGCACATCTTCCGTGATAGGACATCACCAGCTGGGCACGGATCCTTCCAAAAGCGGTTTGCGCACGCTAGTTTAAGTTCCGGGAAAGGCTCTACCAGATCATGTAATCAGCACCGTAGCTGCCTTAGCTGCCATCCAGTTCCAACAGTCCAACACGTATCTTCTGCTCGAAAACACCGACCCGAAGCAAACGCCTCAGAGCCATCTGCAAAGAAGAAGCCGTCCTTGCCTTCAAGCATCGAAGGGCTTAGGATTTAAGGGTTTCGCATGTAGGGTTGGCGGAGCTTCTGAGTAACCTTTCGGGTTCTGCATGTGCGAAAGGTCCTCCGAACCGCACGAGAAGATGTTATAAGCTCGAAGGAACTGAGGGCAGTTCACTCAGCCCCCGACCCCAATCGATCTTCAGGCTCCTCAATCTCCTCTCGCTGAAGTATTCCTGAGCAGTTCGTGCTCCGACGGATCACCGAAGTGAAGTGCACAAGAAGCTCATCCCAAAAATCCTTACCTTACTGTAAGACAGCTGATGCACTTGCCCTTGCTTGTGTAAACCGGCGGCAGAATTCAAATCACAAAAGGCTTGTCCAAGGCATGGCGAGCCACATAAACAAGAGTGTGGTGATCCACCACTCCCATCCATGATGCCTGCAGCAGTGGGTGTTCTGTGCATCCAAGATGAGGAGCATTGGCTGAATGGCAAAGGACCCCGAAAGACCCCATCGACTGAACATACAACGCAACCACTGGTGACTAGTGCAATGCTAAACCATATTGAAGCAGCGCGGGCCGAAGCTCCCCTCAGCAACACCACGAAGCCAAAATTGACAAGAGGACCCCGGCAACACCAGATCGCCGAGGCTCAACACACACACACACAAACACACACACACACACACACTGATTGTTTGGACATAAATAAATATATATATATGTGTGTGTGTGTATGTATGTATGTATGCATGCATGTATGTATGTATTTATTGCGTATTTAACCATAATCCAACTAGGCACTAGGAGCAGACTACACCAATAATATCCTAGCAGTATTCATAGCAATAATCATCGTAATAACGGGCCGGCTTAAGAAGCTCTGTGAGGTCCCCAGAGGCTCTTGGACCTTCAGCAAAAGCAGCAAGACCTCAAGGCATAATAGACTTCAAAGCAGCCTGATGCCAGACGGCGATGTGGTGAAAGCAGATGGAGCCCTTCAGGGAATTCCGAGTGTTTGCTTGGAGCTGTCGATGGCAGGATCATTTGGACGGCTGGAAATAGAGGTTGTTAGGATTGCTGCCACCGGCAGCACTGCGACTACTAAGTCGATGACGACGACTATGAATGCAGCTGGGGCTGCTGCGGGTGCCGCTGCTGTTACTGGTACTGTAGCTGCCGCTGGTTGCGTCATCAACTATCGCCTACCAACACGACTCCTTCTCCCCCGTTCTGAAGCATTCAAAACAACGGATCAGACCAGATTCGCTGCGTCTGCAGCAACTACCGAAACTTCAACTTCATAGACAACTGATGCGAGGCTCTACTACGGGAAAATGTTCCACATTCCACAGCTAACGGCGTCTACATGCTTCACACTCACGAAGTAGGACCGACTTGTGGTGCTTATAGGGAGGTCTTTTCAAGTGCTTGAATCCCCTCTATCTTTAAAGGGCTGGCTGAAGTACCACATAAGACATGTCCGCAGGCGTGCCGTGTCCATGTCGTACCTGCCCTGAACCTACGAAGTCACCCGAGACGTGCGACCCCAGAGCCAATACCCCTTAACTAAGCAATATTTAACCCTAACCGCCCAGGTACCTACTATATAGGGCCCTATAGGGGTCCTAGTACCCTATATAGTAGGTACCTGGGAGGTTAGGGTAACTTGACAAAGGCCATTAGCCTGAGTTTTTTCAACTTGAGACTGCTGAAATACGGGGACCGAGAAGTTCCTGAATCATGGGTATTGCGCTTTGTCGGAACATACGAGTATATATGTGTATACATACATATACATATAAATGTATATATATATGTACGTATGTATATATGTGAATATGTACAGGGACACATATACATATGCATCTATATATACATATACATATACATATACATATACATATACATATATATATATATAATTCATTCTTATTCTCTCTCTATATACTTGCACAAGCATTGCCACCCAAAGGGTAAGTAGCGCCCACCAATGTGTCATCTGTATGATCATGCATAAATATCGGTACATGCCAAAGCCTTCGCCGGGTATGCAGCAACCCCAAGACTGAGACCAACAAAAATTGAGCCCTGATGTAAGTGTAAGCCCTAGCTTCCTCATGATTCCTGGACTTTGAAAGAACCAGGGAGGAAAAAAAACGTATAGACTTCCATTTCATCATGGTTCCTTTAAGGAACACGTCCCCCATTTCATCATGGTTCCTTTAAGGAACACGTCCCCCCAAAAAAAAGTGTGCTCCAGAATCCACCTTCAAGACCTGGACTCCCCCGGGGCACCTTCATGGCCAGGTGCTGAAGCAAGGCTTCTGTCTGATCTATCTCCACACCGGAGGAGCAGGACCTGATCTCAGTCGTTGGTTTTGTTGCATCCTGGTCGATAGATAGATAGATCGATAGATGATCGGTATATAGAAAGTTGTGATTTAGTTAGATGGATTGACATGCAGACCGACCGATAGTTGGATAGATGGGGTGGATAGACACATGGAAAATCAATTATCCAGGTAGTAATTGCTGACGTTGTCGATGCCCTTGTTGACCTGATCTGAGATTTTGGAGACTCACACCCTGGAACATAGGGCTTCGGGCGGGAACGCAGATCGGGTCTTAGGGCCTTCATATGTCGTGCGTTTGGCTTCGACTAGCAGCTAGCACACTCGCTCAAGGCAGCCACGGATTAGGGAAAAGTGTCCCAGCATGCTACAGGAAGATGTAGGCACATGCGTTGGTTTAGGTTTGCTCGATACAGGAAGACCCATCTCCCCAGATCTCCAGGATGCTAAATGGCTGAGCTTAGTAGCGAACAACAGTAGACCCAGTAGGTTTCGCGAGGTTCCCAGCTTCAACATCGCCGGGGCCCAGAATCTTGTTTCGACTCATGGCTTGCTTCTCGTTTCGGCGCAAAAACCTGCAGCTTTTTGGGTTTGGGATCCAGGGCCAGCGTTGGAATTCGATCTCCAGCACTGCTAAGGCCCAACTGTTGGAGAGATACGAGCACTTGCTGCTTAGAAGGCGTTACCGTTGAAGAACACCAGCAGGAGTAGGCACTCCATTGTTCAAAGCAGTGAATTTTAGTTCTGGTTCACCTGTCTGACCTTTGAAGCCTTGAAGACCCTGATGTGCATTTCAAGCTTGGGGAAATACTCGGAAGACATGCGCTGAGATTTCCAGCGCACCGGCGGCAGCTGTAGACTCCGAACCGGGCAGCATGGTCGGGTGGCTGGCGACGTCCAGCCTCAAAGCGACTCAGCTCAGCTTACTGCTTCTTAGGAAACAAAGCGCAGCAGCCCGTTGCTGGTCACTGTATTATATATAGATACAGAGAAAGAGAGAGAGAGAGA